GTGACTGAGCTGGGAAACTTTCACGTTTCTCTTCCTTTCTTTCATCTCAGGATAACTGAGCTCTGCGGTTTGTGTGGGACCAAAGGCCCTGGGAATACAATGCTGAGCCCTCTGAACTCATTTTACTCTTTATATATTATTTGATTCCTGGGACTGAATTAAACATGAAAACAGAAGAAAATATACCCTTAGATATAGAATTTGAGTCATTACCCAGAGATTTCTGTGGGAGTTGACACTAAGGCATGAGACACATGTGTTTATTGGTCAGTTTCCTCAACTATGGAACAAAGGTTGATCCTGCCCCTTGGATCCTTTGGAGGTTGGATATGATGCATCCAGAGGGATTAACTGGCAGCTCTGAGAGGAAGATCAGAAGTCAACAGACACTTGTTTCCTTCACCCAGACAGAGTTAGAAAAACACAACTCCTTTTATCATAACAGCAGCAACAGCCATGCCTGAGGGAGGAGGAGCAGGGAACCAGGGCTTCCCCCTTGCTCCTTCTCCGCCCTCCCTCCCTCCATCCCTGTACTGGTCCAGCTGCTATCGCTATGGTGGAATCGCTCAACTCAGGCTCTGGCCCCGCCCATGTTACAGGGAGGAGCATGCGCAGTTTCTTGCAGACACAGAAGCAGCTATGGAGTAGGGAGGTGGCAATTATTTCCCTGAGCAGGCTCTGAAGTCCTTGTTGAAGTCTCCACTCCGGAGCCTGCAAGTCCAAGTCCTGGGAAGCTGCACAGTGGAGGCGCCACATTCCTTTCAGTAGAAACTGAATATTGATAGGAGCCTGCTGGCTGAGGGGAAGGACCAGGAGGTCTGCCTTGCGCCCATTCGCCAATCCCCAGTCCCATTTTGCTGATTGCGCCTCCTGAGCCCCGCGCCCGGGCCGCACACAGGGCGGGGCCGCCACGATGGATAGCCATCGCCCTGTGCCCCCCTGAGCCCTAAGCCGCCCAGGGCTGCACACGGGGCGGGGCTGCCACGATCGATCGCCATCGCCCCACGCCCTGCCTGAGCCCCAAGCCATCCGGGGCCGCACACGGGGGTCCTGGCTGGGGGCGGGGCTTTCCCTACCTGCAGTATGCAAATTAGCTGCATCTTTGTTGGCGGTTAATTTGCATACCATGTTGATTAGCCGATGGGAGGTGTAGCGAAGGTAAGGTCAATTACCATGTTTGTCTATTATTAGATAGGACTGGTAGATGCATAGCCCATGATACAGGCATAGTGAGACCTGGCAGGTGGGTATGGCTTGAGCTGGGGGGGGGGGGGG